CTCCTCCTCCCCGTCTCCCCCCCCCGCTCCCTAACTCCCACGATCCTCCCGCTCCACCCTCCTCTGAGGTCGGGCATGTCCCCCTACAGGCGGCTTTTGGACGGACAGTGAAAAAAACGTTCCAAAATAGTCAACATATGCGCAAAAAAAGTCAAAAAAACGTCGTCCCCAGGCTATTTGTTTGATTGTTTTTGAGCATTCCTCCTGTAGAGGGACACGCCCGATTTAAGCCTCGCCCCTCTCTTCCCCTCCAGCCCCGCTCCCCTCCGGGAGAGGGTGCCTTCGAGAGCGCCGCGAGGCCGGTGGGCACGTCCTGGAACTTGAGGCCGGCGGAGGGGGACAGGTAGCCGGGCCACCTGACGAACTCCTGGCAGCGTCGCCCCACTCCAGAGTTGCATGGGACGCACAGGGACATCCTAATACTATGTCCTCCTTGGAGGCGCGCGTCCGACCCGAACACATCGTATACCCATCTTGTCGTACATCGTTTCCCGAGCGGTGTGGACATAAAGCGCCCGCCACGACGCATATACTAAAAGATTTCTCGGTGCGCGCGTCGCCCCTGGGAGGGCCACGCACATATAGTATAAGTATGTTGGGGTGACGCCGATTACGCACTATGGATACTACTCGGCGGCGAGCGAGGGGGGGAAGTGAGAAGGCCTTCTCAAAGGCGGCGGGACTTCTCGGAAGGCCCCGCGCCTCCTGAGCATTGTTTGCTGTCTTCGGGGAGGGCTCAGAAAACTTCTCACAGAAGGCGGGGGGACTTCCGAGCCTTCCGCACTCCGATGGCTTGTCGTGCGTCATGGTGGTGTTCCCGCTGCGGCGTGGGCCTCCTTCGCGGATCGGCGCTCTGCTGCCGTCGTTCAGCATGGCGCTCTCGCCCCGGCTAGGGCCGCTCCTCCGGATCCGAGTCGCCCCCCTCACTTCCCCTCATCCGCCCTCCTCTGGGCCTCCTGCTCCCCCCGCTCCTTCCACTCCAGCTCCTGCTGCTGCTGCTGCTGCTGCTGCTGCTCTTCGTCCTCGTACTGCTCATTCCTCGTCCTCATCCTTCTGCTCATCCTCCCGCTAATCCTCCTCCTCCTCCTCCTCCTCCTCCTCCTCCAATGTACGCAGCTCCCTGTTTTTCCGATCGTGCATAGCACGATGGGGTCCTCGTGAGAGCTGCAGGTCCGCTGTGACACGCGTCGGCGGAAAGCCGAAAACAGCACGATGGAAGGGGGTGGGTGGGAAGGGTAGGATGTCAGATACCGTATGGCGCGAACGCACTTAGCTTACCATCCTCCCCATCCGTCCTGCCCACCCCTCCTTCTCGCCCTCCTGCTGCTCCAACCGTTTCTCATCCTCCCGTTCTTCGTCCTCCTCTTCCTCCACCCCCCACCCATTCTTTCTCACTTTCCCCCCCTCGTTTTGTCCGTCGAGGGTAACCCGTGTTGCCCCTGGGGGGAGCGGACGGGGGGTGGATAAGGGGACCGGCGGCCGCGGTGTGCATCGGGCAGGGTGCATCATCATCATCATCATCATCATCATCATCATCATCATCATCATCATCATCATCATCATCATCATCATCATCATCATCATCAGCATCAGCATCAGCATCAGCATCAGCATCATCATCATCATCATCATCATCATCATCATCATCATCATCATCATCATCATCAACATAATCATCAGCATCATCATCAGAATCAGCATCATCATCAGCATCATAATCATCATCATCATCATAATCATCAGCATCATCATAATCATCGTCATCATCATCATCAACATCATCAACATAATCATCAGCATCATCATAATCAGCATCATAATCATCATCATCATCATAATCATCAGCATCATCATAATCATCGTCATCATCATCATCAACATCATCAACATAATCATCAGCATCATCATAATCAGCATCATAATCAGCATCACAAGCATCATCATCATCAGCATCATCATCACCATCCTCACGATCATCATCACCCTCGTCCTCCTGCTCCTCCTCCTCCTCCTCCTCCTCCTCCTCCTCCTCGACGTGACCGCCTGCACCACGGCAGCCGCGTGCACAACAGCGCCTGTGTACACCACGGTGCCTGCGTGCAGCACAACGCCCGTAAACACCGCAACGCCGGTGCAGATACAGCAGCCCATGTGCACCGCAGCGTACGCGTACGCCACAATGCCTGCGTGCACCACAGCGCCCGTGTACACCGCAAAGCACTGGCCTTGCGTGCGCCGGAGCGCCTGCGAACTCCTTGCATTTTCCCTCTGAAGCTGCAAAGATTCACGCGTGTGGTAGGTTTGCACGCGCTACCGTTACCGTTACGGGGGGAAGTCTGGGGGGGGGTAACACGTGTTACCCCTGGGGAGATAAATAACGATCTCTTGTACCTTCGAACTCTCAGCATTGTACCATTGAGTATCATAGACTCCCTTTGAGAGGCCCTCACCTCCGTCTTCTGGGCGCTCTCGGGCGCTCCTGGGCGCTCCCGTGAGGCTAGACTCCGAGGAGGAACAGGTACCGATGCCGTCACCCTTGCCTCGTTTGAGCTTTTTTTCTTGGGCCTCCTTGGAGGCCCTCGTCGCCACCGCTGGATTCGCATCGAGTCCTGGGCAGAACGCGCCCCAGGAAGAGGTCCGGGGAGTCGCGGCATCGGAACCTTGCGGCTTCCCCCCGCCGACACAGCCACCGCCCCCGGCCAGGCCCCTTCTGGGGGCCCAGGAGCGGTGCAGACGCCTCCCAAGGCTGGAGCCGCGTGACTTTCCAGGAGGCCTCGGGAGCTCGGCTTCATCCTCCTCCTCCTCCTCCTCCTCCTCCTCCTCCTCCTCCTCCTCCTCCTCCTCCTCCTCCTCCTCCTCCTCCTCCTCCTCCTCCACCTCCACCTCCCCCTCCTCCTCCTCGTCCTCTGGAGCCCGCGCTCCCAGCATGGCTGAGCCGGCGCCGTGGCCCGCCCCGGAGCCCTCTTTCGGGGCCGGCCCCGGGGGGCTGGCCCCCAGGCCCTCCCAAGCCTGCACGGCCCTGCCCAAGGCTGCGAGCGTCTTCGCGGGGGCCCCAGGACACACAGAGACTGAAGCACACGGCTCCCAGGATTCCCCACATTCTCCCCTATTTTTTCGGGGTGCTCGTCTTTCCCCCCCCACTTCCCGTAGTTTTCCATCCTTTTCCTGGGGATCGGCGATGAATATTGTCTGTGTGTTTTTCTCCTCCTGAGTCTTCTTATTCTAGGGGAGCGAAGAATGACATAAACATAAAAACTCGAATGTCCGCGCGGACCTCCGAGTCTGTATGTTTGTGTCATTATTCGTTCCCCTATACTCGGCGCTTCGACAGTCGGCGTTTCGAAATGGGGGGGGCAGGGGGGGGATCTGGCTGCGGACCGCTGCTAACGCGGCTGTTTGCAACCATGCGTCCTATGGGGGAGACTTCACATGCTTGACACAGGCGCCAAACACTCTTCTTTTTTACCAACCATCCTGTGGTGTTGGGTCCTCGTTTTGAAGAGACAGCGCCCCGCGTCTCCTCCTCTCCTCCTCATCCCCCTCCTCCCTTTTCCCATCCGCCTCAGGCCGCATGCGTCAACGCCACCCAAGACAGCGTGTCGTGGCCCCATAGAGAGCTCCACCGAAGGCTCCAGTCGCACAGGCCGCATGCCTCAACGCCCCCCAGGACAGCGCTCCGTGGCCCCACAGGGAGCTCCACCGAAGGCTCCAGTCGCACAGGCCGCATGCCTCAACGCCCCCCAGGACAGCGCTTCGTGGCCCCACAGGGAGCTCCACCGAAGGCTCCATTGGCACAGGCCGCATGCGCCAACGCCCCCCAGGACAGCGCTTCGTGGCCCCACAGGGAGCTCCACCGAAGGCTCCATTGGCACAGGCCGCATGCGCCAACGCCACCCAGGACAGCGCTTCGTAGGGAGCTCGGCCGCATACATCAACGCCACCCAGGACAGCGCTTCGTGGCCCTATAGGAAGCTCCACCGAAGGCTCCAGTGGCACAGGCCGCATGCGTCAACGCCACCAATTTCGGCGCACCCCTCGCACGTTTCGTGGCCCCATGGGGAGCTCCACCGCAGGCTCCAGTGGCAGGGTCCACATGCGTCAACGCCACCGATTTCGGCGCACCCCTCGCACGTCTCGTGGCCCCGTGGGGAGCTCGCACCGAAAGCGGTACCCACAGTGCGGCACTCGCAGCTTCATGTGGTTGGGTCCTTCGTCGGGCCATTTTTTCGTCGGCGGCTACGCAGAGGTCGTTTGCGCCGGCGGAGTACGCGAAACGGGGGCGCCGCTGAAGCGAATTAGCCACCAGGCAAGAGAGGGACAGGGGGGGGCGGCCGCAGGCCCCCGGGGCCGTAGGCGACCCGAGGAGGAGGAGGAGGAGGAGGAGGAGGAGGAGGTGGAGGAGGAGGAGGAGGAGGAGGGGGAGGGTGGAGGGGAGGGGGAGGAGGAGGAGGAAGGGAGGAGGAGGAGGAGGAGGAGGAGGAGTGGAGGAGAGGGAGGAGGAGGAGGAGGAGGGAAAACGATCACATCACATTGCCGAAGATGGCTGACTCCTGGGTGTGCTCAGGCTGGTCCCGAGCTTCGGTTCGGCGGCACTTCCCCGATCCAGGCGGGTGGCCGGGGATGCTGTCTGCATGGGCCGGTGTGAATACTTCTTTGGAACGCGGGCGCACGAGGCAGGTCGGACGCCGAGCAGGCAGGGGCAGGCTGTCCGCTGTGAGCACGCAAAGCGTCAAGAATTACCCCCTCAGTGAAGGCTCGAAGGGGCGTGCAGCCAGCGTCGAGACAAGAGCACGACACCGAGCAGCGAGGCCCCTCCGAGACGGCCGGCGCCAGCGCGGGGCCTGCGGTGGCCGCGGGGCAACGGTGGGCAGCGCGGGGCGGCGGGGCTTAGCAGGGCTGGACCCCGACGGCGCGACATGAGAGATCTCTTGGGTGTCCCAAAACCGTGTGGTGACAGACCCGGCGGTGACCTCGAAATCCGCAAAGACCTCACCGTACGGTCCGTCACCACACGGTTTTGGGACCCTGGAGGCTCCAGTCGCCCGAGACATCCTCGGAGAACGACCCTAGTCCCAAAACCGTGCGGTGACCCCGATTCCCCACCGACTCACCACACGGTGTGGTCACCACCCCGTTTGGGAGCCCCCGAGATCTCTGTCGACACCGAAGAATCATGACGGCGATACGCCACGAGGGGGGGAACCCAGCACAGCGGCAGATCGGGAGGAGCGCTCCGGGGCGATGTAGCCCATGGTGGCGAGCATCGAGACGCGACCGTGCTTCAGCTCCGTGGCCCTGCGGCGATTGAAGGTGGCCACGTCGCCGTCGCTGCTGAGCCCCGCGGGATCCCAGAAGCCGACCGGAGCCTGCGGAGGCGAGGGGTACCAGGGGAGCGGGGGCGGGGGCGGGGGCAGGAGCCGAAGCAGGAGCGGGAGGGGGGAGGGGGGAGGGGGGAGGGGGGCAGGGGGGGGAGGGGGGGTGGAGCGAAAGGAAGAGGGTGGAGGCCACGGCGCGGCGAGGAGCGGGCCCAGACGGGGCCCAGAGCGGGCACTGCTCTGGGCGGCATGGCCTGCGGCTTCGGGGCTTCCTCCCCGCCCCCTGTCAGGCCTCCCTCCGCCCCCAGACGAAGAGGACCCATCCAGCACGCAGACGCCCGAGAGGAGTACGGAGCGGAGCGGAGCTGCCAAGACGAAGCTCGTGCCCGCAGAGGCGACGGCGCTGCTGCTGCCGCCTCTGCTGCGGCACCTTGCGGAGGAGGAGGAGGAGGAGGAGGAGGAAGAGGAGGAGGAGGAAGAGAATGAGGAGGAGGAGGAGGAGGAGGAGGAGGAGGAGGAGGAGAAGGAGGGCTCTGCTGCTGGCCGCGGCGCTGTGCCCGGCTGCGGGCGCCGTGGGCCGCGCTTGCCGCGGAGCGCCGGCCGCGCCTCGCGCGTGGCCTGCGGCCTCTGCCTGGCACGCACTGTGCGCGGGAGGCCACCGCAGCAGTCCGCGGAGCGCCCGGTGCGCCCGCAAGCATCAAGGGGCCCAAGGACACACAAATAAATGCACACAAATAAAATGATTCCCCATATTTGTCCATACTTTCTCGGTTTTTGTCTTCCCGCCCAATTCCCATATTTTCCCATATTTTCCCGGGGATCGACGATTAATTGTGTCTGTGTGTTTTTTCCCTCCTGAAAGCACAAGGTCGGAAACTGGAAGGTGTACATCACCAGTGGCGGGTTGTTTTTTCCAATCCCAGGACTTTTGGAAGGTCGGGGCCGACGTCGGGGTGGTGTGGTGTGTACTTTTCCCCCCCGTTCCCCAGGGGAAACAACGAAAAGTGCAGACACCAGGATCCCGCATACACCAGGATCCGCGCTCCTGTGCGAATCTCAGCGCAGGGTTGGAAAAAACGTCGGTGCGTGCGTGTATATATATATAGAGAGAGAGAGAGAGTTTCCCTAGGAGGCCAGGAGGTGTGGCCCTCACTCTGAGGGGGCGCGCCCATGGAGCCAGCGGGCAGCCCCAACGGGCGAGCGAGCCACCGATGCGGAGCATCCTCTGGGCCTATCCAAGTCTAGTCGGGCTAAGCCGTGGCCTCTATCTATCTATATATGTCTAGATGTATACATGTTTATATGCATATGTATGTGTAGCCATATATGTGTATATATACACACATATATACATACATATATATATATATATATATGTACATATATATATATAGACAGCCCCCCCACCCAGCGGCTCCCCTACCCCAATCGACGCGTTGTTTGTCTCTCTCTTTCTCTCTCTCTCTCTCTCTCTCTTTATCTCTCTCTCTCTCTCTCTTCCTCCTCCTCCTCCTCCTCCTCCTCCTCCTCATAAAGTGTAGATGTGTACATGTGTATAGTACACATGCTGCGTCGTAGGGGGAAACACGCATGTGTGCTGCGGAACATATACCTTTGGACTGTCGGAGCAGAGGGCTTCCCTGAAGAATGGAAGGAGGCTCTACGCCTGCGCCTTCCATTACATGACGCACGAACACATGTGGCAAGAGATATTGAAAGGCACGCTGGAGACAGAAGCAATAAGCATATCCGCAGGTGTGGGCTCTTCCGAGCAGCACTGATGGCATGTAGCTGCATCATGCTGTGCCAGTAGCAAGGAGGCCATCTTCCTTGATTTCAGCTCCACGGGCGCTATCCATGTAAAGCCTGACTGGTCGAGGCCTGTCATGGCTGGGTCAAAACGGCTACCAGTTTGAAGGCCGCGCTGCAGGAGTACACTCTTAATATCAGCACCAGAGCCGCGGCAGCAATCGGCCCAGCGCCTTGCAGTACGACTCGTCTACGTCGCCGTCGAGCTGGTCGTCCACGCAGGCACGGGGCTGGTCATCGTTGGGCTGCTTGTCGCAAGGCTGGCCGTAGCTTGGATGGCAGGCGGGGGACCGCGTCCCGATGACCTGGGGATCGGAGCTGTTTGGCTGCCAGGGTGATGATCGCCGTATCGTCTGTATCCTTTACGACGTCCCAGGCATCGACCAGTCGCTGCAGCTGATGCGCTAGGTGCTGACAGCGGGGAGCCAGGGGGAAGTGGTTCCACAGCTACTTGTCATAGTTAGAACGCTGATACGGGTGCGTCATGAAAATCAGCTCATGAAAATCGAGAGAGCGGGATGGTGTGGTCTCGTACGAGCATCGTCCAATGAGCTGCTAAATGTGGACGGAAAAATCCAACGGGGGTAGACACCATCGAATGACGATGACTTCTGCACGAGCACGTTCACGTTGCCATTTTATCGAGTCGGTGCGCGCCGTCATTGGTCCTGGAATGGAGGCCTGCTCGCTGTATCTATTCGCAACGACGGGCGTTCCCAAGCATATGCGTGCGTGTGTGTGTGCATGTGTCATCTCGGCCGCCGCCGTTTCTGACGCGCCGCCCAGCCTCGCCGGCTCTCGCGGCTTCTCAGCCTGCGACACTTTGTGCGCCCCGTCACTGCCTCTGCCTCCAGGTCGTTACTTGGCCTCATTGTCGGCCCACGCTGCTCACTCGCACCCCGCGCCTTCCAGTTTTGGTTGGCATATGTCACCCTCCACCTCACCGCAGTCTCGTCTATCCAACGCTCCCCCCCGCCATCCATGCTCGGATGGTTATGACTGCCAGCGGCTGCGTGGCCCAAAAGGGTCAATGAGTGCTCGGGCGGGCCTAGACTCGCGCGCAAGGTTAGCTGTTTTCCAACCTTTTACGCCCTGTCGCTACGCGCGGGGCTGCGACGCCAACGGAATGCGCGCGCGTTGACGGATTCAGTAGGAGCCTTCATTTACTTGGACGGCAACATTGAACTCTAAGCTGCATGTGGCCGTGTCGCGAGGGGCGTTCGTGCACGGCGATGCGGTAGTTTGTGGGAGGGAGTCGACCAAGTACTGCAGTTCCCTGGCCTCGCGCACAATGGCCATCGACACAAAACAACAACAACAACAACAACAACAACAACAACAACAACAACAACAACAACCATCATTATAAGACTGTTCGCTCTTACTTGCCAGTGTCTCATTCAAAACGAGTTCCCCACACCCTCGATACCCGCCTTTTTTGTCTTCGATCACACCCCCGTTGGGGAAATTATTTCCCGTTGCGGGGGGCGGCGGGTTTAGACAGGCGGGCAAACCTGAACGGGCGGACAATCCCTCGTGAGCGTACATGTGCCCGCCATTGGAATTGGTGTGGGGCCTGCAAAAAGAGGAAGGGGAGAACGAGGGAGAGTGGGAGGAAGGGAAGGGGAGGGACGAAGGAAGAGGGAAAACGCCAGGAGAGAAGGAGCGAATAGGGGGGCGGTTGATTAGAGGCAGAGAGAGAGAGAGAGAGAAAACAAAAACAAAACAAAAAAAAAACATATAAGAGAGGTAGAGAAAGAGAGAGAGAGAGGGAAGAGAAAGAGAGAGAGAGAGAGAAAGAGAGAGGGAGGACGCAGGATAAAGGAGGGAGAAGGGAGGAGGGAGAGGAGGAGGAGGGAGAGGGGATTGGCCAGAGAGGCAGAAGGATGAGGGAAGAGAGGAGGGAGAGAGAAGGGAGGAGAGGAGGGAGGAGGGAGGAGGGAGAGGGAGGAGGAGCAGGAAGGTACGAGCGTAAACGTTCGAGGAAGTCCTAGGCGAAAGCGCTGTTCCTGAAGGAAGTCTCGGGGGGGAGCCCACGACGGGCGGGCGATCCCCTGACGGGCGGGTCGGGCGGGTGGGACATTCAAGCGGGGTCCTGGGCGGGAGCCCACGACGGGCGGGCGATCCCCTGACGGGCGGGTCGGGCGGGTGGGACATTCAAGCGGGATCGGTTGGGACATTCAAGCGGGATGCCTGAGTATGGCGAGAGCGCGATTACTAAGTAAATTGTAACGGCGTCCTTGGCGCAGCGTGTTTCCTGAGCGTCGAAAAACCGATTTCTAAATAGCTTGCATGGAAGTCACAGGCGAGATCGCAATTCCTGAATAAAATGTGAAGGGCTCTCTGGCGGGAGCGGGGGTCTTGATTAAATTGCGAGGAATGCTTGACTCAATTCAGGAGGAAGACTCAAACGGGAGCGCCGTTCCTGAGCAAATTGTAAGTCTCAGATGGGACCGGAGCCTAACTAAATTGCGAGGAAATCACAGGCGGGAGCACCGATCCCGAGTAAATTGCGAGGAAGTCTCAAGAGCGGGGGTCCTGAGTAAATTTGGAGGAAGTCTCCGGCGGGAGCCGTTGTTGTTGTAATCCGGGGGGCCGGAGGCCCAGTTTGAGCACGAAGACTCTCCCTGTCAAAAAACAGGGTGCGAGCGTCGAGGGGCACACTTTGATTAAGGAAAACAGCATGCACCGGTGAGGGGGGATCAACAAGAATTACTCTTCAGACATGAGAACTCAACAACAGCAACAACAACAACAACAACAACAACAACAACAGCAATAGTTTTAAGACTAATCGATCTTATATGCTCGAGTGTCCGTCAACGCGTATTTCCCAAACCCTCGTACCCGCCCTCTTCGTCTTCGATCGTACCCCTTTTGGGGGGTAGATCTTTCTTCCCTGCAGCCCGGGCCCCGGCAAGCGGCGGGGCGGCCGCGGACCGTCGGCCTGGCCAGCGGCAGCGCTGATCGGCGGCAACCCGACCCCAAAAGGAACGGACAGGGAACCGACCACGACGACGACGACGACGACGACAACGACGACGACGACGACGACGACGACGACGACGACGACGACGACGGCGACGGCGACGGCGACGGCGACGGCGACGACGCCGACGTGCGAAAACGAGAGCGAGAGAGAGAACGACAGCAGGGCTACGAAAGGCACGAAGTAGGCCACGAAGGGCGACAGCGAGGACACGAAGGGAATGCGTATGGGGCCACGAAGACCGCGAACGAGC